CCGTGTACAAGAAAGCAAAAACAGAGGATGTTCACACACCGTGTACAAGAAAGCAAAAACAGAGGATGTTCACACACCGTGTACAAGAAAGCAAAAACAGAGGATGTTCACACACCGTGTACAAGAAAGCAAAAACAGAGGATGTTCACACACCGTGTACAAGAAAGCAAAAACAGAGGATGTTCACACACCGTGTACAAGAAAGCAAAACAGAGGATGTTCACACACCGTGTACAAGAAAGCAAAAACAGAGGATGTTCACACACCGTGTACAAGAAAGCAAAAACAGAGGATGTTCACACACCGTGTACAAGAAAGCAAAAACAGAGGATGTTCACACACCGTGTACAAGAAAGCAAAAACAGAGGATGTTCACACACCGTGTACAAGAAAGCAAAAACAGAGGATGTTCACACACCGTGTACAAGAAAGCAAAAACAGAGGATGTTCACACACCGTGTACAAGAAAGCAAAAACAGAGGATGTTCACACACCGTGTACAAGAAAGCAAAAACAGAGGATGTTCACACACCGTGTACAAGAAAGCAAAAACAGAGGATGTTCACACACCGTGTACAAGAAAGCAAAAACAGAGGATGTTCACACACCGTGTACAAGAAAGCAAAAACAGAGGATGTTCACACACCGTGTACAAGAAAGCAAAAACAGAGGATGTTCACACACCGTGTACAAGAAAGCAAAAACAGAGGATGTTCACACACCGTGTACAAGAAAGCAAAAACAGAGGATGTTCACACACCGTGTACAAGAAAGCAAAAACAGAGGATGTTCACACACCGTGTACAAGAAAGCAAAAACAGAGGATGTTCACACACCGTGTACAAGAAAGCAAAAACAGAGGATGTTCACACACCGTGTACAAGAAAGCAAAAACAGAGGATGTTCACACACCGTGTACAAGAAAGCAAAAACAGAGGATGTTCACACACCGTGTACAAGAAAGCAAAAACAGAGGATGTTCACACACCGTGTACAAGAAAGCAAAAACAGAGGATGTTCACACACCGTGTACAAGAAAGCAAAAACAGAGGATGTTCACACACCGTGTACAAGAAAGCAAAAACAGAGGATGTTCACACACCGTGTACAAGAAAGCAAAAACAGAGGATGTTCACACACCGTGTACAAGAAAGCAAAAACAGAGGATGTTCACACACCGTGTACAAGAAAGCAAAAACAGAGGATGTTCACACACCGTGTACAAGAAAGCAAAAACAGAGGATGTTCACACACCGTGTACAAGAAAGCAAAAACAGAGGATGTTCACACACCGTGTACAAGAAAGCAAAACAGAGGATGTTCACACACCGTGTACAAGAAAGCAAAAACAGAGGATGTTCACACACCGTGTACAAGAAAGCAAAAACAGAGGATGTTCACACACCGTGTACAAGAAAGCAAAAACAGAGGATGTTCACACACCGTGTACAAGAAAGCAAAAACAGAGGATGTTCACACACCGTGTACAAGAAAGCAAAAACAGAGGATGTTCACACACCGTGTACAAGAAAGCAAAAACAGAGGATGTTCACACACCGTGTACAAGAAAGCAAAAACAGAGGATGTTCACACACCGTGTACAAGAAAGCAAAAACAGAGGATGTTCACACACCGTGTACAAGAAAGCAAAAACAGAGGATGTTCACACACCGTGTACAAGAAAGCAAAAACAGAGGATGTTCACACACCGTGTACAAGAAAGCAAAAACAGAGGATGTTCACACACCGTGTACAAGAAAGCAAAAACAGAGGATGTTCACACACCGTGTACAAGAAAGCAAAAACAGAGGATGTTCACACACCGTGTACAAGAAAGCAAAAACAGAGGATGTTCACACACCGTGTACAAGAAAGCAAAAACAGAGGATGTTCACACACCGTGTACAAGAAAGCAAAAACAGAGGATGTTCACACACCGTGTACAAGAAAGCAAAAACAGAGGATGTTCACACACCGTGTACAAGAAAGCAAAAACAGAGGATGTTCACACACCGTGTACAAGAAAGCAAAAACAGAGGATGTTCACACACCGTGTACAAGAAAGCAAAAACAGAGGATGTTCACACACCGTGTACAAGAAAGCAAAAACAGAGGATGTTCACACACCGTGTACAAGAAAGCAAAAACAGAGGATGTTCACACACCGTGTACAAGAAAGCAAAAACAGAGGATGTTCACACACCGTGTACAAGAAAGCAAAAACAGAGGATGTTCACACACCGTGTACAAGAAAGCAAAAACAGAGGATGTTCACACACCGTGTACAAGAAAGCAAAAACAGAGGATGTTCACACACCGTGTACAAGAAAGCAAAAACAGAGGATGTTCACACACCGTGTACAAGAAAGCAAAAACAGAGGATGTTCACACACCGTGTACAAGAAAGCAAAAACAGAGGATGTTCACACACCGTGTACAAGAAAGCAAAAACAGAGGATGTTCACACACCGTGTACAAGAAAGCAAAAACAGAGGATGTTCACACACCGTGTACAAGAAAGCAAAAACAGAGGATGTTCACACACCGTGTACAAGAAAGCAAAAACAGAGGATGTTCACACACCGTGTACAAGAAAGCAAAAACAGAGGATGTTCACACACCGTGTACAAGAAAGCAAAAACAGAGGATGTTCACACACCGTGTACAAGAAAGCAAAAACAGAGGATGTTCACACACCGTGTACAAGAAAGCAAAAACAGAGGATGTTCACACACCGTGTACAAGAAAGCAAAAACAGAGGATGTTCACACACCGTGTACAAGAAAGCAAAAACAGAGGATGTTCACACACCGTGTACAAGAAAGCAAAAACAGAGGATGTTCACACACCGTGTACAAGAAAGCAAAAACAGAGGATGTTCACACACCGTGTACAAGAAAGCAAAAACAGAGGATGTTCACACACCGTGTACAAGAAAGCAAAAACAGAGGATGTTCACACACCGTGTACAAGAAAGCAAAAACAGAGGATGTTCACACACCGTGTACAAGAAAGCAAAAACAGAGGATGTTCACACACCGTGTACAAGAAAGCAAAAACAGAGGATGTTCACACACCGTGTACAAGAAAGCAAAAACAGAGGATGTTCACACACCGTGTACAAGAAAGCAAAAACAGAGGATGTTCACACACCGTGTACAAGAAAGCAAAAACAGAGGATGTTCACACACCGTGTACAAGAAAGCAAAAACAGAGGATGTTCACACACCGTGTACAAGAAAGCAAAAACAGAGGATGTTCACACACCGTGTACAAGAAAGCAAAAACAGAGGATGTTCACACACCGTGTACAAGAAAGCAAAAACAGAGGATGTTCACACACCTGCCCTGCGAGGAGGCCAAGCAGGAAACAACTCACCCACACTGCATAAGAAAGCGAAAACAAAGAGAGTACACCTCATAGCATTGCACAAGAAGACAAAATCAGAGAATGCAGCTCACACACTAGAGACGAAATAAGCACAATAGAAAAAGATGAGCAATCGGTTTGACACCTCACAGAGGTAAATTGGTATTAGTCGTGGCACCACAAATACTACACCAGCATGATGCCATACCTTGAAGCCACCCTCAAGTTCAACTTCACACTCACGTTCGCACTCAATCTTGTACTCAATCCCGCACCCGCCCACACACGCACAAATACTCTCAACTTTCTTAGACACACTCACAGAAACACACATACAAACCTACACGTTCACTCTGACACTTACCTCCGCACTCATGATCGTTCTCATTCCCAATCATACTAACACAAATACTTACACGCGCACGCAAGCACACTCACACGCCCCCTTGCACTCACACTCGCACCTGCTCTCGCATTCACCCTAAGACACACACTTGCACGCAGTCTCGCTCTCAGCCTTGCACTCACACGCACACCCACTCATCCTATCACTCACCCTTGAACTACCCTCTCACACGAGCTCACACTCACCCCAAACCCTACACCATCATATTTACACTCACATTCACTCTCGCACTTGCTCTAACTCTTGCTCTCGTTCTCACCCTCGCACTCACCTAAACACGCACCCTCGTACTTCCTCTCATATTCACCCGCATACACGCACTTGCACGCACCCTCGCACTTACCCTCAAGTACATGCGCGCACTCACACTCGCACTCACACCCGCTTTCGCACCCGGATAAAAAACTGCCCTCTCACCCTCACACACTCTCGTACTCACTCTCGCAACCACTCACGAACGCACAATTACTTTTAACCGTTCTTAGACACACCCTCAGAAACACAAACACACACCTTTGCACTCACCCTCAAACTCTCGCACTCACTCGAACACTTTCACACTCACACGCGCACACAGTCGCCGGCACGGTGGCACCCTTGAACTCAACTCACACCCACACCCACACTCACGCTCACACTCGCCCTCGCACTCACACTCGCACTCACTCTTCTACTTGCAATCACACACCGTCTCACACACCTTCGCACTCAGACCCGCGCTCACACGCACTCTCGCGCGCACTCTCTCACGAGCACTCTCACGCGCTCTCCTCACGCGCTACCTCACGCGCTCTCTCACGCGCACTTTCACGCGCACTTTCACGAGCTCTCTCACGCGCACTCGCACGCGCTCTCTCACACGCACCCTCACGCGCTCCCTCATGCGCTCTCTCACGCGCACTCTCGCGCGCAATCTCACGCGCTCCCTCACGCGCTACCTCACGCGCTACCTCACGCGCTCTCGCACGCGCACTTTCACGCGCTCAATCACGCGCACTTTCACGAACTCTCTCACGCGCACTCTCACGCGCGGCACTCTCACGCGCGGCACTCTCACGCGCGGCACTCTCACGCGCTCTCTCACGCGCTCCCTCACGCGCTCCCTCACGCGCTCCCTCATGCGCACTCTCGCGCGCACTCTCGCGCGCACTCTCACGCGCACTCTCACGCGCACTCTCACGAGCACTCTCACGCGCTCCCTCACGCGCTCTCTCACGCACTCTCTCACGTGCGCACTCTCACGATCTCTCGCACACGCACCCTCACGCGCTCCCTCACGCGCTTTCTCACGCGCACTCTCACGCGCTCTCTCACGCGCACTCTCATGCGCACTCTGACGCGCTCTCTCACGCGCTCTCTCACATGCCCTCTCACATGCCCTCTCACGCGGCCTCTCACACGGCCTCTAACGCGGCCTCTCACCCGCACTCTCACACGCACACTCACACGCGCACTCTCGCGCACTCTCACGAGCACTCTCACGAGCACTCTCACGCGCTCCCTCACGCGCTCCCTCACGCCCTCTCTCGCGGCCTCTCACGCGCACTCTCGCGCGCACTCTCACGCGCGCACTCTCGCGCACTCTCACGCGCTCCCTCACGTGCGCACTCTCACGCGCACTCTCACGCGCAATCTCACGCGCGCACTCTCACGCGCGCACTCTCACTCGCTCTCTCACGCTCTCTCTCACGCGCTCTCTCACGCTCTCTCTCACGCGCTCTCTCACGCTCTCTCTCACGCGCTCTCTCCTGCGCGTTCGCTCCCGTGCGCACGCTCTCCCTCGCGCTGAGTCTCTCCCCTTCTTCAAATGAAAGTGCAATGCAAGAGGAGACCAATGGACACATAAAATTTACGACGAGAGCAGAAAATAAAGGAAAAATTAGCGGGGGGATGGAGGATGAAAGGACCGGGACCGCACCTGATAACCACGGTGCCTCAGAAAACAACCCGCGCTGGCGCACCAACCCGCGCTCGCGCACCAACTCGCGCTTGCGCTCCGGGCACCTATCGCCGGAGGCGAGAGCGGGGAGGAGGGAGAGGCGACGGCGGGGAGGAGGGAGAGGCGACGGCGGGGAGGAGGGAGAGGCGGCGGCGGGGACGAGGGAGAGGCGACGGCGGGGAGGAGGGAGAGGCGACGGCGGGGAGGAGGGAGAGGCGACGGCGGGGAGGAGGGAGAGGCGACGGCGGGGACGAGGGAGAGGCGACGGCGGGGACGAGGGAGAGGCGACGGCGGGGAGGAGGGAGAGGCGACGGCGGGAAGGAGGGAGAGGCGACGGCGGGGAGGAGGGAGAGGCGACGGCGGGGAGGAGGGAGAGGCGACGGCGGGGAGGAGGGAGAGGCGACGGCGGGGACGAGGGAGAGGCGACGGCGGGGAGGAGGGAGAGGCGGCGGCGGGGAGGAGGGAGAGGCGGCGGCGGGGAGGAGGGATACGCGACGGCGGGGAGGAGGGAGAGGCGACGGCGGGGAGGAGGGAGAGGCGACGGCGGGTAGGAAGGAGAGGCGATGGCGGGTGGGAGGCGACGGTGGGTGGGAGGGAGAGAGGACGGCGCGGTGGGAAAGAAAGGATGGCGGGGTTGAGGTAGAGGCTATGACGAGGTGGGTGGTTGGGAGAAAGAGGCAACAGGTGGGTGGGATTGTCACGTGAAAACACACGCACAATCACGTGACACTGAGTGGGCTGAAAACAACTCACTATGAACCACTAGAAATAGTGCAATGTTACAATACAAAGTATCATCTTTGAGGAAAAAGAACATCATTGTTCACTATATAAAACAAACGATCAATGTGTCTAGATCTTGACGTATTAGAAACATCAATTGTTAAAAATCATCAACATCCGCGTTGAAACGAATAGATTGAACAATCAAAAAGCGCTTGCCATATTCCTTGAACGGTAGACCTAAATTTGGCGCTAAATAAGAAAAAACTGCATTGTCAACTATGAATGTAACATCTACGCAACCCTTCCGACGTTAACGTCGAGTCTTGTTTGAGCATACCTAGGCATGGTTGCCCTCTGGCGATTTTGGGTGCTCCAATTCTTTGTCTAGTAGACCCCTACCGCCCATCCTTCCTTCCTCCGGTGCGCATCATCCGCTAGTCGCGCGCCCCTGCCATGCGCGGACCGGGCATGGGCGGGTTCCGCGACCCCGCTCCGCGCGCCATGGGTGCGCCAGGAGGGGGCATGAGCGGAGCGCCGAGGGACGAGGACCTCCAGGGGGCGCCGCTGCGGGACGGCGGGGGGGTCCGCGGCGGAGGGAGCTACCGGGAGCCGGGCGCCGCGGGGTTGGGCATGGGCATGAGAGACTCGGCGCCGCCAGGGTACCGCGAGATGGGCGGCGCAGGTGCGTTCCGCGACAGGGAGATGGATGGCGCCACGATGACCGCCAGCGGCAGCGGCGGAAGCCTGAACCGATTGGCAGGCAACGGTAGTGGGGGAAACCTAATTCGTTTATCGAACGACTCTGTAGCGGGGATGATGACGTCAACATCGTCCCCGCCTCGGTACCGCCCCAATGCAGCGGCCGGCGGGCCGCCGTTCTTCGGGTCGCCGCCACTGGGCGACCCGATGGCCTTGGGGGGGGGCATGGGGGGACCAATGGGAGGTACCATGGGGGGGCCGATGGCGGCGCGGTCGAAGCGGCGCGGCGGCAGCGCGCGGTACTACCACGTGGCGGCGGCGCTGCGGCAGAACCTGCCGTACCTGGTGATCGCGGCGCTGCTGCTAGTCATCGTGATCATGCGCGCCCCCGCCCCCGCCCCCCCGCCTGGTGGCCTCGCCACCGCCGCCGCTGCAGCAGGCGGGGCGGAGCGCGCAGCGGCAGCAACAGGGGGGGCGGCGGGGGGGATGCAGGCGGGGAACGGTGCGGGGATGGGAGGGGGAGCCGCCGGGGCGGCGGGGGCAGGCGGGGACGGAAGAGGAGGGGCAGGGGGAGGCGGGGCGAAAGCGGGGGAGGCGGCGGGCAGGCAGATGCTGCAAGGAGCGGGGCGGGCGACGGGAGCAGTGGCGGTGCCAGGCACATCGGCGGCAGGGAAGGGCGCGAGAGGAGCAGCAGGGGGGTCGGTGGGAGGGCTGCTGTCCATGGGGCTGAGCCGGTTTGGGCTGGGCGGCGGGCAGAAGAAGAACCTGATCAGCATCCTCAAGGCCAACCCCGACGCCGTGGAGGCGCGCGAGGCCACGCGCAACTACCGCTTCCGCGAGCACGCGCCCGTGTACGGGCTGGTGCACTTCGCATCGTACCGCATGAACGCCGTGAAGTTCGCCATCGTGGGGCTGGCTGGGCGCGCCCTGCGCGACTCCCGCAAGCTGGGCAAGTGCGTGTGGAAGGAGAAGAACGGCGGGCACCGCGTCACTGGCACTCTCACAGGTGAGGCACTCTCGCAGGTGAGGCACTCTCGCAGGTGAGGCACTCTCGCAGGTGAGGCACTCTCGCAGGTGAGGCACTCTCGCAGGTGAGGCACTCTCGCAGGTGAGGCACTCTCGCAGGTGAGGCACTCTCGCAGGTGAGGCACTCTCGCAGGTGAGGCACTCTCGCAGGTGAGGCACTCTCGCAGGTGAGGCACTCTCGCAGGTGAGGCACTCTCGCAGGTGAGGCACTCTCGCAGGTGAGGCACTCTCGCAGGTGAGGCCGCAACGTGCAGGGGGCTCTTGGGTTGGTGGCTGTAGCAGTCAGTGCTCTCGGATTGTGGCCCACATCCATGGCATGTGGGATGTTTCGGTTTGAGATTAATGGCACTTTGTGCACGTCTATGTTGATCGCGTGACGCATGATTCATGTTGGGCAACTACCGTGCTGCCTCCTGCCTTTGTTGCACCCGTCCCACCACACACGCCCTGCATGCCGTCCCACCACACACGCCCTGCATGCCGTCCCCCTGCGTGCAGCGTTCAACCCGGGAGAGCACCACAACCTGCGGTACGAGGCGGTGTTGCTGGTGTGCGAGGTGGAGGAGAGCACGGAGGCGGACTACGGGGGGCTGCTGCTGGCCACGGTGGACAGGGAGGACGTGGTGGCGTACATGGAGGAGCCCAAGCAGTTCCCCTCCGCCACGCCCAAGGCGCCCTTCAAGTACCAGCTCACGTACTGCTCGCCGCCCCTGGCGGGGAAGATCATCCCGCGGCGCATGTACGAGTGGATGGAGTTCCACCTGCACAGCGGCGTGGACCGCCTCGTGCTGTACGACGCGGGCGGCATCGGGGCGGCGCTGATGACGATGCTGGAGAGCTACACGGAGCAGGGCGTGGTGGAGGTGGTGGACGTGCGCCAGATCACGGCGTACGAGGCGTGGGAGCGCGGGCGCCTCATGGTGCTCAACGACTGTGTGCAGCGCCACCGCTTCTCGTCCAAGTGGGTCTTCTTCGCCGAGATGACCGAGTTCTTCTCCGCCGCCAAGGGCGAGACGCTGCTCGCCACCGTCAACGCGTACGACGGGCGCCCCTACGTGACGTTTGGCAGCCGGTGGTGGTCGTTTGAGAAGTGCACCTTCTCCTCTCTCACCGAGCGCATCGTCGTGCGCGGCGCCGCCATGATCGAGGGGCAGAACTCGGGCGACGAGGCGCGCGACGTGGGGGGGATAGCGGAGGGCGGTGCGGGGGAGGGCGGCGTGCAGGTGACGGAGGGCGCGGAGAAGGCGGCGGTGGAGCAGCCGTGGGCGCTGGAGCGCATGCTGTTCCGGTGGCCGCACATCTACTGCACGAACAAGGAGGCGTACCCGCGCTGGGAGCTGTGCCTGGACTACCACGGCTTCCGGCGCGTGGCGGCGGACCCACGGCAGGTGGTGGCTGTGCAGATCCACCGCGTGGAGGTGCCGCGCATGGGCGGCATCGACGTGGACACGGACGCGGCGCGCTTCAACCACTTCCAGGGGCTGCTGGACGACGAGCGCAAGTTCTGCATCAAGAGCGTGCGCCCCGGCGAGCAGCTCGACTGGTGGGTGCGCGACCAGTCCCTCGCCCTGCTCGCCCAGGAGGCCAGGCAGTCGCCCCGCGCCAAGTTCAAGACACGCGGGGGGTGAGGGAGGGGAGACGGGTGGGGTGCGGTGGGGTGGGGCCATGGTTGGCTCGTGTGGTCTGGTGGTAGGGGAATTGAACGGTAGCGAGGCAGGAAGGCGGCAAGGCAAAGAGGCAAGAAAGCAGCATCACTAATGCGCAGTTGCGAGGTGGTGGCGGAGGTGCAGGTGTGAAGGTGGGTGCATGTGGGATGGGATGGCTCACACCGCCACTTGAAGCTGGCAGACAAGACAACCATGCGGGCTCATGTCAGCACACAAGCCAGAAACAGCTCAGCTCACACAAGACATTATCTCAACAGGCCTCTTGAATCTTGACTCTGCTGGGTTGCCGTGATTTGAGGCGTGCAGATGCAAATGCAATGCAACCAGGTCCCCATCAATACAACACTGGTTAAAGGAGTGGCTCCACGCTGATGCGTCGTGTCGTGTGGGCCTTGCTGTCGAGTTATTTAGTCAGTACGTGCGAGAGTGTACTGGGTGGTGTTATCGTACAACAAATGCTACTCAGACCCTACTATATACAAGGGATTTTCTCCTAAGAGATTATAGGGTTAGGTATCTGGGACAGGGCAATCTTATCATGGCCGTACCGGTATCTATAAACCCCAGGCGTTCCTCTCCTCATCTCTCATCAGTATTGCATTCGTATATCTGTTCCTGGGCTGCTACGGCTGCTAGGGCGGGCCGCCAGGCCACTTGATGACACCACCCTTGGTGCACCCGATGCACCACTTGAGCATGCGCTGCGGCTGCACCACCACGGGCGAGCGCACCACATGGCCCACCTCGTCCCGCCACATGATGCTGCCGTAGAAGAAACTCATCGACTTGCCCACCACGCGCACCACCACCCTGTACGTCACACTCTCGCCAGGCGCGATCGTGAATCGCCGCGGCGTCACCGTGAGCACGACCCCCCAGGGGTTGACCACCGTGGCCGTGTATGTGGACGGCACAGCCGCCACGCTCGTCACCGTGCGCAGGATGATGGTGACGCCCTTGGCGCGCCCCAGCGCAATGGACGGGCGGTTCAGGTTGCGCGGGGGCAGGCGCGAGAGAGCAGCGGCGGGGAACAGCCTGCGCGCGCGGAACCAGCTCTGCCCCGCGAGGAAGTTGCGCAGGTGGCGCTCGCTGGCATCAAAGGTCAGCCCGGGGTCCGCCACGCGCGCCGCCTGCACCACCCCGCACCCCATCTGCCACGGCGTCGCCTTCCTGCCCGCCGCTGTGCGCATGGGCGCACCTTGCGCCGTGGTGGTGCGTGCGGAAGTCATGAGCGCTGACATCACCTGCGCGGGCGACCACCCAGGCCGCAGCTGCACCAGCACTGCTGCAACGCCTGCCACCAGCGGTGCCGCCAGGTACGTGCCGGTGCGGTTTATGAGGTCCCCAGGGGCACCAATGGTGGTGGCGGGGGCGGCGGACCAGAGGTCAACGGCCGGGGCGAGGAGGTCGGGCTTGAGCAGCGAGTTGGTGGGGAAGGGCGGGCGCACCCGGTACCACGGCCACACCAGCGGGCCCGCTGAGGAGAAGGGCGCCACCGTGGGGCCTGGCTGTGCTGCTGCTGCTGATGATGATGGCAGTGCTGTGGCATTGAAGTCACTGGCATTGGCAGGTGCAGCAGACAGATGGACAGACAGACGGACAGATGGTGGGATGGAATGATGCGATGGTGGGTGACGAAGCGAGTGCAGTCAGGTGCGGATGTGTGTGTGGGGAGCGAAACCTATGAACGAGAAAGTGGGAGGAGTGGAATAGTGTTTAAATGACAGATGGAGGGGGAAAGAGGATTACAAACTGATTTGGGAGCTTGGAAAGAATGAGAAGAAGAAGAAAAGAACAAGTGGTGTGCGCCGCACCTGCCACTGCTGGCAGCAGCTGTCAAGGCTGTGCTGATGTGGCGACCAGGGGCCGCTCCTGACAAGCCCCCCTCCCCTGCAATCGTGCTGTGATAAATGGGATGGCAACATGGGATGGCAGCATAGGATGGTGATGTGGAACAGAGGCACGGTGCAGTGGGGCAGGCGAGGTGCAGCGAGATGGTGAAAAGGGAGGGAGAGAAGAGGGGTTGGTTGGGGGGAGGGATGGAAATTAAAGAATCACAAAAAATTTTCTGGGCATCGAGAACGTGCAAACTGACTCTGCAACGACTGGTGAGGGGTCACAAATTGTGCCACGGGCAAGCAAAGAACGAGATTCAAGAGTCGTGGGAGCAAAGCATGGGAACGGACACTCTTCACCTTACAATTCTCACAACAGCCGCCCTCAGTGAACCCACCTGGCGCCCACAGTGAGCCCACCTGGCGCCCCTGAGAGCCCACCTGGCGCCCACAGTGAGCCCACCTGGCGCCCACAGTGAGCCCACCTGGCGCCCCTGAGAGCCCACCTGGCGCCCACAGTGAGCCCACCTGGCGCCCCTGAGAGCCCACCTGGCGCCCACAGTGAGCCCACCTGGCGCCCCTGAGAGCCCACCTGGCGCCCACAGTGAACCCACCTGGCGCCCCTGAGAGCCCACCTGGCGCCCACAGTGAGGTAGAAGGGCGAGAAGTTGTCGATGACTCGGATGTATGCGCCCAGCAGCCGCCAGAAGTTGGGCTGCCCCCAGTCACCCGCCCCCATCACCACCACCACGCCTGCCTGCCTCCACGCACGAGCACAGCATGAAGAGTCAGGATGTGAGGGTGTGAGGTGAGCGGGTGGACTTGAATGTGTCAAGAGCCTTCAGGTTGCAAGATGATACGGACAGGCCAGGCCGGTAGCAACACGTATGCTCACACATGCACCACCCTCTCCTCTTCCCCACCAACCCCCTTCTCCCAATCACCAATCCACATCCCCCCTAGTCTAGCCACCATACCTCTGTGACACTATCAGCCCCTCCCTGCACCCACCCCCACCCCACCTCGTCTCGCTCACAGCGTGGGCGTTGAGAAAAGCAGCGTCAGTGAAGTAGGTGGCGAGGGAGCCCTTGAAGGCGCCCACAGTGAGGCACAGCACATCCACGCCGTCCGCCACGGCGCGGTCCACAGCGCCCAGCACGTCCGCCTCGTGCCCGTACCCCGCCCACAGCGCCTTGTACACCGCCACCCTGGCCCCCGGCGCCATGCCGCTCGTGTGCGCTCCGTCCGCCCACGTCACCGCGCTGCCCACCGCTGCTCTGCCGTGATGGGCGGGGGGGCAGGGAGGAGGTGCGGGAGGGAAGGAGAGGAGGGAACAAGGGAGGAATGATCGGGGAAAGGGAGAGAGAGAAGGGAGCAGGAAGGATAAAAAGGAAATGGAAGAAGAAAAGGAATGAAAGCAGATGTCGTCCAAGTCAACCCCCTGGGCACCCACGCTGCGGCCCACGTGCCGCTGCCATCCATGTCACGCGGCGAGTCATACTCCACACTGAAGTCCGGCCCGCCGCTCTGCTGCGCTGCTGCATACAGGCGCTGCGCACCGATGATCTTCCCGCTGCACGTGAAGTCTGGCGTCGTGTCACACGCGCCCTGCCACCCTGCCGGCATGCCCATGACCGCCTGCTGAGAGACACACACGGGAGGTGTGCGGTGAGCGGCGTTGAGAGGCGGTGATGGAATGTGGTGGGGAGTGCGGAAGGATAATAGGGGCGCTGGCGAGAATGTGGGTGTGGGAATGAGTGTGCATGTGCGTGAGTTGAGTGGTTGAGAGCGCAAGTGAGAGGGAGAAAGAGAGAGTGTGTGCACGTGGAAGAGAGGCACCCACGGAGGCATGGAATGCGGGGTGCTCGGGCCAGATGCCCGACCCCACCACCCCCACCACCACATCCGCGCCCGCGCTGCCCTGCCCGCCCGCCTGCTGCCACAGCGACCCCGGCAGCCCCATGAAGGAGGCGGCGTCTGCATCGTACGTGCGTGAGGCAGACGCCGTGGAGGCAGACGCATTCGACGCAGGGGTGGGGCGAGCACGCGAGAGAGGCATGGTGGGGGCGGCGGGGGCGTGGAAGACACGGGTGCGGCGCACGGAGGCGACGGCGGGGTGCCTCTTGAGGCGCCACACCTGGCGGGGGGACAGGGCAGCGGCGAAGGCGTGGGCCACGGTGTGCACGTGCAGCAGCACGGCCGCTGCTGCCACCCCCGCGTCCGCCGCCACCTGCTCCTGCTGCCGCTGCAGCGCCCGCCTCAGCGCCCTCACGTGCCCCGCCCTCATGTCTATTCCCCGCCGCCGCTGCCGCCATTGCTGCTGCTGCTTCTGCTCCCTCTTGGGCGGGTCGCCCTGGGGCAGGTCGCCCTGGGGCAGGTCGCCCTGGGGCAGGTCGCCCTGGGGCAGGTCGCCCTGGGGCAGGTCGCCCTGGGGCAGGTCGCCCTGAGTCGAGGGGAAGGGGGAGGCGGAGTGCGGGTCGATCCCCTCGTCCCTGGGCGCGGTGGCGGGGAAGCCGGGGAGGTGTCCGCGGTACGTGGCGAGGGGGGCGCCGCGCAGCTCCACGATGTACTGCGCCAGCCGCTGCTGCTGGCGGGAAGGACCTGGCAAGGGGAGATGCGAGGGGGGAGATGGAAGGGTGACGGGGCTGAACGAAGGGTTGAAGATGGCTTGCGTGAGACGCGGCGGGAAGGAGAGTGAGCGCGAGTGCTGATGCCGTCATTAGGCAGAGCGGGCGGCGACGACGACGACGGCGACCCTCACCATCGTCCGGAGGGGGCGCGCTGCTGGGGGCCGCGAGAAGCAGCAGAAGCGCCGCCAGCGAAACGACGCTCCGGGCTAGAGGCGGCGACAGGCGAGGCGGTGACGGCGATGAGACGGCGGTCGGCATGCGACGAGGCCGATCGCGACGGCCGTCAGATTCAAACACGCCGGCTCGACTGACGGAATTTTCTAATTTGGCGACTTGACGGCGAGGCTGACAAACAGCCGCTTATTGATTATCGTTCATTACCTATCGAGGGTGAAATGCGAATGGCAGCATGCCTTGATTAAATGCCCTGGAATGGGATGCGCTGACGCTGCTCCACCGCGCCGCCGCACTGCCCGCACTGCCGGTCGCCACTTCAGAAAAGGCTGGAAATCGGGTCGCGGGGAGAAAGGCAGGACTGGCGGAACCCGTGCAGCTCGTGATGCTCTCAGGGTCAAGCCCCCGCGCAGCATCGTTAGTAGATGAGTTGTTTATGGTATGGTTGGAAACTCAGGCGAAAGCTGGTATTGAGGCTCGGGCTAGTTGAGAAGCGTAGATCCGCTCGGCCGAAGCAAGGCTTGGTGAGAGCTGGCGCTTGGTTTGGGGAAAGAGGAATTCTGGGGGCAGGCACGGGAGGCATGTTGGTTGGCTGGCCCTGTTGTCGAGTTCGTAGAGGGTTCGACAGGTCTGATTGCGAAATCGCAAAACAAACTGCACATGCGGTTACCGCGATGTCGCGCGTGCTTGCGAATCCCTGCGCTTCGATCTATCGTGTCATGTTACTCTTGTTTCAAAACTCGACAAGGTTACACGGCCGAAATTGACCTGGCCTGTGATGAGTGTAACCCGCCCTGAGAGAGCGCAGACTTGAAATACATGAGAGCGGCAATCACGCCAGAGGAGTCGCTGCAGCTCCAGTCCGAAAGCGCACCATCGCGCGACCTGCGCGGCTGGCACCTTGGTTTCCCAGGCTGGGTGGTCGTGCAGCTTCGGAACCCCCAGCTCGCGACGATAGAACCTACCCATGCGGGTTTCGTCCGGCAGGAAGGAAAGGTTGGAGGTAGCGAGCCCAGACATGCCCCGCGAAGCCCCTCATCTTGGGGAGGAGCGACATTCCACGAGCAGCGGCCTTATCCCCATCCTCGCCACGCCGTGGTCGCCGTTTCTGCCAATGGATGCGTCGCTCGGCGACATGCTCGCACAGCTGCGACACGTGGCAGCTGTTGAGGCAGCACGGGCGGCAGAACAGGTGAGGAGTTATTCTCGTCGCGCGCCTCTGTTTTCCACACGCGTGTTGCTTTGCTGACGTGGCGCGTGCTGAACACAACACTGCTTGCAGGTGATTCTTCCAAAAGACTTCACCCTGACCATTCCACATCCAGACAATTCAACCCGCCCCCCCGCTCTCGACAGCGCCACCCCGTTGTCGTCACAGCAGCCCCTCAAAATCACCATTCGGTTGTTGTCCGTTGGCCACGTGGACTCCCGCCCTGCATACCACTCCGCCAGTGAGATTTGGCCACGTGGGTACCATGCAGTGTGGGAGGACCCTTTAGGAGGGCTGTGCCATAGCGAGGTGGTGGAGCAGGGGAGCGAGGGCGAGGGGTGGGGGCAGGGGGTGCGGGAGGGCGGTCACCCGGTGTTTCGGGTTTGGAGGGAGGATGCAAGAGAGGGAGGCAGGGAGGAGGGAGGGGGGATGGAGAGGCAGAAGATGGCAAAGGGTGGGAGAGAGGGAGAGGAGCCATGTGGGGGAGAGCGAGAGGGTGGGAGTGAGGGAGGGGAGGGCGCGATGGGGGAGGAGGTGCAGGCGCTGCTGTGGGATGGGGGGGGACCTGCGGACATGGGGGGTTGGCGGACAGGGGGTGACTCATGGGCGGAGGGAGAGGATGGGCGGGAGGTGGATGGGGGGGAAGGGGAGGGGGGATTGGCGGGGAGAGTGTGAGGGGAGCTGAGATGGAGAGAGGAGGGGCGAGCAACGACTCACGTTCGCAGCTGCTTGGGGGCTCCAAGGCTGAAAGCAAGGTTCGGATGGTGTGTGAAGGGCAAACGAGTCAGCAGGCTTGGGAGAGGTTCGGAGGGGAGTGGTGGGAGCAGATGGGTGCGACATGGATGGGGAAGGCTGGGCAGGGCACGGCGGAGACGAGGGGGGAGAGTGGGCGGGAGAGTGGAAGGCAGGCAGGAGGGGCGGTGGAGGATGGAAAGAGTGGTTCCGATGTGGGTGTAGTGGGTGAGGGGGGCGTACGAGAGTGGCAGCAAGGGGAGGGAGTGCGAGCAGAGTATGCAGGGTGGGAGGAGCAGCGGGTGCAATCGCTGCTGCTGATAGACAAGTACGGGCTCTCCCACCCACCCGTGCTGGCCCTCATAGAGGGGCAGAGCGGTGCAGAGCGGTGCGCAGGGTACGAGTTGAGGGAGGAGAGGTGGTGGAAGGAGCAGGTGGCGAGGAAGCAGGAGAGGCAGGCGAAGAGGGGGCGTGGGATGCAGGACGAGCAGCACGGAGGGGGGGAGCAAGGGGGTAACGGGCAAGAGGGTGGGTATATGAAGGAGGGAATGGGGATGGCAGGCAGAGGGCAGCTGAGCGAGTTGCAGGGTGGGGCGAGTGGGGGGCAGGAAGGGGGGGATAGAGGGTGGGGTGGTGGGGTTCATGGGGCGGACAGGGTGGACGGGTGGGAGGGGGCGGAAGGGACGACAAGGGGAATGGCGGTGGAAGAGGCGGCGTCAGCAGTGTCCCCTACAGCACTGCCAGCACTGCTGGGGCTCTCCCGCTCCGACATGCTGCGCCTCATTGAGGTGCGCCCTGCCCCTCACTGCGCCTCATTGAGGTGCGCCCTGCCCCTCACTGCGCCTCATTGAGGTGCGCCCTGCCCCTCACTGCGCCTCATTGAGGTGCGCCCTGCCCCTCACTGCCGCCCTCTCGTCTCTGCTGCGTCTCTTCTGACTTGTACGCAGCAGGACGGGCGCCGTGCTCTGCCCATGCCATCTCATCATGTCATTGCCTCTCATCGCTCCGCTGCCCATCCTGCCCTTACTTACCCCTCTACCTCTTTCCAACTCCCCCCCCTCGCCATCGCCTCGCCCTACCGCCTGCCCGCCCACCCCTGCAGGTGCACCACGTGCTGCACTCCTTCCTGCCCTGCCTTCCGCCGCCCTCCCCCCATTCCCCCCCCCTGCCTGCGCTATCCCTGCCTGCCCTCGCCCACCACCTCGCCTACCCGTCCGCCCATCTGCCCGCGTCAGCTGGTGCAGCGAGCGCACGCAGTGCCGTCACTGCTGGCGAGCATGGCACGACGCCCCTGGTGGCGCGCATGCACGTGACGCTGCTGCACCTGCTGCTGCCCGCCGCCATGCCTGCTGTTGCTGCACGCGAGGTGATCGGCGGGCGCGAGAGGGATGGAAGAGGGAAGGAGAGGGAAGCCGCAGAAACCGAAGCGAGAGTTGGTGTAGTGAGTGGTGGCAATGCTGCTACCTCTGCTGCTGCTGCTACAATGCGCTCTCCTGCTTCCCTCACAGGCGACCACATGGGCTTCAGTGCTGCTGCTGTGAGTGATGCCAGCTCCGACCTGCTGATGTGTCCCATTGATGAGCTGACGTGGCCTGAGGTGGCATGCAGGGTGCTTGCCGTCAGCACTGCATTGCTGCAGGAAGAGAGGAAGGAGCGCAGGGCGCATGGAGGGGATGAAAGGGAGGGGAGGCGAGGGACGAGGGGAGGGGGAAGGCGAAGGAGGGGGGCAAGCAAAGTGGGCAAAGCGGACGGGGAGGAGGAGGTCGGCCGAGGCAGCGGCAGGGAGGACGGGAGGCAAGGGGTGGGACAGGGAGGGGTGTGCGGGCGCAGCCCGTGGGAGCAGGGGCGGCTGACGCGGTGCATCGCTGGCGATGGCGGGCCGCTGCTGGGCCACTGGCTGGGCACCCCTGGTGCCATGCACGACGCTGCTGTGAGTGCACGACGCTGCTGTGAGTGCACGACGCTGCTGTGAGTGCACGACGCTGCTGTGAGTGCAGCAGGACAGCACCTTAGCATGCTGGCCAATCACCTTGTATCGTCATAGATTAGTTCACCAACATGACTCACATTCCCGAATATGCCCCTGTGCCCGTGTGCCCCTGTGCCTGTGTGTCCGTGTGGCGCGTGGCGTGGCAGGCGCTGGCCACAGCGGAGAAGCAGCTTGCGCGGGTGGCCGCCTCCCAGCTGCACGCCACTACTGCCACCACTGCTGCTGCTGCTGCTCCTGCCCCTGCGGGCGTGGCAGCAGGAGGGCTGGGCAGTGGCGCAGGCAAGGGCAAGGCGGGGCGGGGGGCTGCGGCAGCAGCGTGGTTGGGGTCAGCGGGTGACGAGCAGGGAGGGAAGGAGGCAGCGGCGGTGGCAGAGGCAGAGGAGAATGACAGCCGTGCTGCGAGTGCCGCTGTGCCGCAGGCGCCAGGAGTGAAGGAGGAAGCGGGCAGTGAAGCTGCCACCGCTGCTCACGGTGCTGCTGGGGGTCTCCCTGGTGGGGCTGCTGGGGGTCTCGCTGGTGGCGCTTCTGGTGGGTGCTGTGCTGCGCATGGTTGCTGTGCATGCATGGGGGGTGTGCTTGTGTGTGCATGGGGGGTGTGTGCATGGGGGGTGTGTGCATGGGGGGTGTGTGCATGGGGGGTGTGTGCATGGGGAGTGTGCATGGGGAGTGTGCATGGGGAGTGTGCATGGGGAGTGTGCATGGGGAGTGTGCATGGGGAGTGTGCATGGGGAGTGTGCATGGGGAGTGTGCATGGGGAGTGTGCATGGGGAGTGTGCATGGGGAGTGTGCATGGGGAGTGTGCATGGGGAGTGTGCATGGGGAGTGTGCATGGGAGTGTGCATGGGAGTGTGCATGGGAGTGTGCATGGGGAGTGTGCATGGGAGTGTGCATGGGGAGTTGTGCATGGGGAGTGTGCATGGGGAGTGTGCATGGGGAGTGTGCATGGGGAGTGTGCATGGGGAGTGTGCATGGGGAGTGTGCATGGGGAGTGTGCATGGGGAGTGTGCATGGGGAGTGTGCATGGGGAGTGTGCATGGGGAGTGTGCATGGGGAGTGTGCATGGGGAGTGTGCATGGGGAGTGTGCATGGGGAGTGTGCATGGGGAGTGTGCATGGGGAGTGTGCATGGGGAGTGTGCATGGGGAGTGTGCATGGGAGTGTGCATGGGGAGTGTGCATGGGGAGTGTGCATGGGGAGTGTGCATGGGGAGTGTGCATGGGGAGTGTGCATGGGGAGTGTGCATGGGGAGTGTGCATGGGGAGTGTGCATGGGGAGTGTGCATGGGGAGTGTGCATGGGAGTGTGCATGGGAGTGTGCATGGGGAGTGTGCATGGGGAGTGTGCATGGGGAGTGTGCATGGGGAGTGTGCATGGGGAGTGTGCATGGGAGTGTGCATGGGGAGGGAGTGTGCATGGGGAGTGTGCATGGGGAGTGTGCATGGGGGAGTGTGCATGGGGAGTGTGCATGGGGAGTGTGCATGGGGAGTGTGCATGGGGAGTGTGCATGGGAGTGTGCATGGGGAGTGTGCATGGGGAGTGTGCATGGGGAGTGTGCATGGGGAGTGTGCATGGGGGGTGTGCATTGGGAGTGTGCATGGGGAGTGTGCATGGGGAGTGTGCATGGGGAGTGTGCATGGGGAGTGTGCATGGGGAGTGTGCATGGGGAGTGTGCATGGGGAGTGTGCATGGGGAGTGTGCATGGGGAGTGTGCATGGGAGAGTGCACTGGGAGTGTGCATGGGGAGTGTGCATGGGGAGTGTGCATGGGGAGTGTGCATGGGGAGTGTGCATGGGGAGTGTGCATGGGGAGTGTGCATGGGGAGTGTGCATGGGGAGTGTGCATGGGGAGTGTGCATGGGGAGTGTGCATGGGAGAGTGCACTGGGAGTGTGCATGGGGAATGTGCATGGGGAGTGTGCATGGGGAGTGTGCATGGGAGAGTGCATTGGGAGTGTGCATGGGGAGTGTGCATGGGGAGTGTGCATGGGGAGTGTGCATGGGGAGTGTGCATGGGAGTGTGCATGGGGAGTGTGCATGGGGGGTGTGCATGGGGGGTGTGCATGGGGAGTGTGGATGGGGAGTGTGCATGGGGAGTGTGCATGGGGAGTGTGCATGGGGAGTGTGCATGGGGAGTGTGCATGGGAGAGTGCATTGGGAGTGTGCATGGGGAGTGTGCATGGGGAGTGTGCATGGGGAGTGTGCATGGGGGGTCTGCATGGGGAGTGTGCATGGGGAGTGTGCATGGGAGAGTGCATGGGGAGTGCATGGGAGTGTGCATGGGAGTGTGCATGGGGAGTGTGCATGGGGGTGTGCATGGGAGTGTGCATGGGGAGTGTGCATGGGGAGTGTGCATGGGGAGTGTGCATGGGGAGTGTGCATGGGGAGTGTGCATGGGAGTGTGCATGGGGAGTGTGCATGGGAGTGTGCATGGGGAGTGTGCATGGGGAGTGTGCATGGGGGGTGTGCATGGGGAGTGTGCATGGGGAGTGTGCATGGGGAGTGTGCATGGGGAGTGTGCATGGGGAGTGTGCATGGGGAGTGTGCATGGGGAGTGTGCATGGGAGTGTGCATGGGGAGTGTGCATGGGGAGTGTGCATGGGGAGTGTGCATGGGGAGTGTGCATGGGGAGTGTGCATGGGGAGTGTGCATGGGGAGTGTGCATGGGGAGTGTGCATGGGGAGTGTGCATGGGGAGTGTGCATGGGGAGTGTGCATGGGGAGTGTGCATGGGGAGTGTGCATGGGGAGTGTGCATGGGGGAGTGTGCATGGGGAGTGTGCATGGGGAGTGTGCATGGGGAGTGTGCATGGGAGTGTGCATGGGGAGTGTGCATGGGAGTGTGCATGGGGAGTGTGCATGGGGAGTGTGCATGGGGAGTGTGCATGGGGAGTGTGCATGGGGAGTGTGCATGGGGAGTGTGCATGGGGAGTGTGCATGGGGAGTGTGCATGGGGAGTGTGCATGGGGAGTGTGCATGGGGAGTGTGCATGGGGAGTGTGCATGGGGAGTGTGCATGGGGAGTGTGCATGGGGAGTGTGCATGGGGAGTGTGCATGGGGAGTGTGCATGGGGAGTGTGCATGGGGAGTGTGCATGGGGAGTGTGCATGGGGAGTGTGCATGGGGAGTGTGCATGGGGAGTGTGCATGGGGAGTGTGCATGGGGAGTGTGCATGGGGAGTGTGCATGGGGAGTGTGCATGGGGAGTGTGCATGGGGAGTGTGCATGGGGAGTGTGCATGGGGAGTGTGCATGGGGAGTGTGCATGGGGAGTGTGCATGGGGAGTGTGCATGGGGAGTGTGCATGGGGAGTGTGCATGGGAGTGTGCATGGGAGTGTGCATGGGAGTGTGCATGGGGAGTGTGCATGGGGAGTGTGCATGGGGAGTGTGCATGGGGAGTGTGCATGGGGAGTGTGCATGGGGAGTGTGCATGGGGAGTGTGCATGGGGAGTGTGCATGGGGAGTGTGCATGGGGAGTGTGCATGGGGAGTGTGCATGGGGAGTGTGCATGGGGAGTGTGCATGGGAGTGTGCATGGGGGGTGTGCATGGGGAGTGTGCATGGGGAGTGTGCATGGGAGTGTGCATGGGGAGTGTGCATGGGGGGTGTGCATGGGGAGTGTGCATGGGGAGTGTGCATGGGGAGTGTGCATGGGGAGTGTGCATGGGGAGTGTGCATGGGGAGTGTGCATGGGAGTGTGCATGGGGGGTGTGCATGGGGAGTGTGCATGGGGAGTGTGCATGGGAGTGTGCATGGGGAGTGTGCATGGGGGGTGTGCATTGGGAGTGTGCATGGGGGGTGTGCATTGGGAGTGTGCATGGGGAGTGTGCATGGGGAGTGTGCATGGGAGTGTGCATGGGGGGTGTGCATGGGGAGTGTGCATGGGGAGTGTGCATGGGAGTGTGCATGGGGAGTGTGCATGGGGGGTGTGCATTGGGAGTGTGCATGGGGAGTGTGCATGGGGAGTGTGCATGGGGAGTGTGCATGGGGAGTGTGCATGGGGAGTGTGCATGGGGAGTGTGCATGGGGAGTGTGCATTGGGAGTGTGCATGGGGAGTGTGCATGGGGAGTGTGCATGGGGAGTGTGCATGGGGAGTGTGCATGGGGAGTGTGCATGGGGAGTGTGCATGGGGAGTGTGCATGGGGAGTGTGCATGGGGAGTGTGCATGGGGAGTGTGCATGGGGAGTGTGCATGGGGAGTGTGCATGGGGAGTGTGCATGGGGAGTGTGCATGGGAGTGTGCATGGGAGTGTGCATGGGGAGTGTGCATGGGGGGTGTGCATGGGGAGTGTGCATGGGGAGTGTGCATGGGGAGTGTGCATGGGGAGTGTGCATGGGGAGTGTGCATGGGGAGTGTGCATGGGAGTGTGCATGGGAGTGTGCATGGGGAGTGTGCATGGGGAGTGTGCATGGGGAGTGTGCATTGGGAGTGTGCATGGGGAGTGTGCATGGGGAGTGTGCATGGGGAGTGTGCATGGGGAGTGTGCATGGGGAGTGTGCATGGGGAGTGTGCATGGGGAGTGTGCATGGGGAGTGTGCATGGGGAGTGTGCATGGGGAGTGTGCATGGGGAGTGTGCATGGGGAGTGTGCATGGGGAGTGTGCATGGGAGTGTGCATGGGAGTGTGCATGGGAGTGTGCATGGGGAGTGTGCATGGGGGGTGTGCATGGGGAGTGTGCATGGGGAGTGTGCATGGGGAGTGTGCATGGGGAGTGTGCATGGGGAGTGTGCATGGGAGTGTGCATGGGAGTGTGCATGGGGAGTGTGCATGGGGAGTGTGCATGGGGAGTGTGCATGGGGGGTGTGCATTGGGAGTGTGCATGGGGAGTGTGCATGGGGAGTGTGCATGGGGAGTGTGCATGGGGAGTGTGCATGGGGAGTGTGCATGGGGAGTGTGCATGGGGAGTGTGCATGGGGAGTGTGCATGGGGAGTGTGCATGGGGAGTGTGCATGGGGAGTGTGCATGGGGGGTGTGCATGGGGAGTGTGCATTGGGAGTGTGCATGGGGAGTGTGCATGGGGAGTGTGCATGGGGAGTGTGCATGGGGGGTGTGCATTGGGAGTGTGCATGGGGAGTGTGCATGGGGAGTGTGCATGGGGAGTGTGCATGGGGAGTGTGCATGGGGAGTGTGCATGGGGAGTGTGCATGGGGAGTGTGCATGGGGAGTGTGCATGGGGAGTGTGCATGGGGAGTGTGCATGGGAGTGTGCATGGGGAGTGTGCATGGGGGGTGTGCATGGGGAGTGTGCATGGGGAGTGTGCATGGGGAGTGTGCATGGGGAGTGTGCATGGGGAGTGTGCATGGGGAGTGTGCATGGGGGGTGTGCATGGGGAGTGTGCATGGGGAGTGTGCATGGGGAGTGTGCATGGGGATGGAGACACAGAATTGTTGATGTGTGGTGTGCAGGGCAGCCGTGTCTCGACGGCCTCCACAGTGCTGCCTCTCTCATGGGAACCACGCTCGCCCCTGCCTTGTGCCATGCATCCCTTGACAGCCCGCTCATCCCCGCCCCAGTGGGTGCTACTGCTGGAGCCCATCCGCAAGATGCAGACCAACGTCGGCGCCCGCATCCGCAACTGCATCCGCGCCGCCCTCGACTGCCACGTGGCACCGCCTGATTGGGCGGTGGAGCGGCTGCAGTGGGCGATCAGCAAGGAGGTGTACAAGGGGAACGCGTCAGGGCCCACTAAGGTGGGTTAAAGACGACTAAAGGTGAGTTAAAACCCACTACGGTGAGTTTAAGACGCCTAAGGTGAGTTAAAAACGACTAAGGTGAGTTAAATACGACTAGAGGTGAGTTAAAGCCCACTAAGGTGACTTAAAGACGACTGAGGTGAGTTAAAGCCCACTAAGATGAGTTAAAGACGACAACGCGTCAGGGCCCACTAAGGTAAGTTAAAGACGACTAAGGTGGGTTAAAGCCCTCTAAGGTGAGTTAAAGACGACTAAGGTGAGTTAAAGCCCACTAAGTTGAGTTAAAGCCCACTAAGGTGAGTTAAAGCCCACTAAGGTGAGTTAAAGCCCACTAAGGTGATTTAAAGACGACAACGCGTCAGGGCCCACTAAGGTGAGTTAAGGACGACTAAGGTGAGTTAAAGCCCACTTATGAGTTAAAGACGACAACGTGTCAGGGCCCACTAAGGTGAGTTAAAGACGTCTAAGGTGGGTTAAAGACGACTGAGGTGAGTTAAAGCCCACTATGGTGAGTCAAAGCCAACTAAGGTGACTGGTCACTGTGAGTCACAAATTTCTGTTTGCGTTTGTTCTCTATCCGTCTTCCCAGCTATTCATTTTTTGCCGTTTGCACCGGCTTTTCTTGCCTCCTGCGTCCGCTTCTCTTAGGTTTGGCACGCAAACCACGCAAGGCCGACTCTTTTCCGTAAATTCACCCTTTTATCTTCACCTCTTGTCAATCCCCCCCCATGACCCCAATCCCCCCCATCCCCCCTGGTGCCCGTGGCAGCGCGCGGCCATCGAGGTGATGGACAAGCTCCTCGCCCTCCAGCCCTCCTCTGCTGCCGCCCCTCCCTCTCCCTCCGCACGTGCCGCTGCTGCTGCCTGGGGTGGCGCCAAGGTGGAGCGAGATGCAGGAGGAGCAGCGAGGGGCGATGGTGCTGCTGACAGCAAGGGCAAGGCGAGAGAGAAGGATGGTGGGACGGCTGTGGGGAGAGGCGGGGCAGAGAGTGGCGATGATGGGGGCTCGCACGCACATGGCAAGTGCCACACAGGTGAGGGAGGCGGGAGTCAGCCCTGTGCTGCGCATGCCGCTGCTGGGCCAACATTAGCACCACACTCGGGGGCAGGCGCTGTAGCAGGGCTGGCAGGGCCTAGCGGCCTGGCGGGGGGAGCAGCAGCAGCAGCAGCAGCGGGGCGTGTGCTGTCGCCTCTGATGCAGCAGTGCCGTGCGGTGCTGTGGCAGCTGGCCCACGCCGACCACCTGCGCGCCTTCACCTACTTCTGGGGCGTGGGGCCCGTGGCACCCGCGGGGGAGGGGGGGAAGGATGCCGCCGAGGATGCAGGAGGCGCGTGGGCAGGGGGGGCAGGGGGGGCAGGGGGGGCAGGGGGGGCAGGGGAGGGCAGAGGGAGGGTGGGCAGCAGTGCAGGCCATGTGGGCAACGAGGGGGGGGCTGGGAAGGGCATGAGAGGGGTGGTGGGGAAGGGGTTGGCGTTGGCACAGCACGAGCATGGGGGGCGGCGGGTGGCGCTCACAGGGGCGGTGAACACGAGAGGGAGCGACGGCACAGCAGGGGCAGCCCTGGCAGCGGCGATTGTGGGGGGTGCGGTGGGGGGGGAAGTGCGGAGGGCGGGGTGGGCTCCGCGGCATGCAGTGGCGCGGCCCATTGACCTGCGCACCATCGATGCTCGCGTGGTGATGGGCGCCTATGGCCAGTCCGCTGAGGGCTTCATTGCTGACGTCAAACAGGTGATTGCTGACGTCACACAGGTGAGGGCTTCATTGCTGACGTCACACAGGTGAGGGCTTCATTGCTGACGTCACACAGGTGAGGGTTTCATTGCTGACGTCACACAGGTGAGGGCTTCATTGCTGACGTCACACAGGTGAGGGCTTCATTGCTGACGTCACACAGGTGAGGGCTTCATTGCTGACGTCACACAGGTGAGGGCTTCATTGCTGAGGTCACACAGGTGAGGGCTTCATTGCTGACGTCACACAGGTGAGGGCTTCATTGCTGACGTCACACAGGTGAGGGTTTCATTGCTGACGTCACACAGGTGAGGGCTTCATTGCTGACGTCACACAGGTGAGGGCTTCATTGCTGACGTCACACAGGTGAGGGCTTCATTGCTGACGTCACACAGGTGAGGGCTTCATTGCTGACGTCACACAGGTGAGGGCTTCATTGCTGACGTCACACAGGTGAGGGCTTCATTGCTGACGTCACACAGGTGAGGGCTTCATTGCTGACGTCACACAGGTGAGGGTTTCATTGCTGACGTCACACAGGTGAGGGCTTCATTGCTGACGTCACACAGGTGAGGGCTTCATTGCTGACGTCACACAGGTGAGGGCTTCATTGCTGACGTCACACAGGTGAGGGCTTCATTGCTGAGGTCACACAGGTGAGGGCTTCATTGCTGACGTCACACAGGTGAGGGCTTCATTGCTGACGTCACACAGGTGAGGGTTTCATTGCTGACGTCACACAGGTGAGGGCTTCATTGCTGACGTCACACAGGTGAGGGCTTCATTGCTGACGTCACACAGGTGAGGGCTTCATTGCTGACGTCACACAGGTGAGGGCTTCATTGCTGACGTCACACAGGTGAGGGCTTCATTGCTGACGTCACACAGGTGAGGGCTTCATTGCTGACGTCACACAGGTGAGGGCTTCATTGCTGAGGTCACACAGGTGAGGGCTTCATTGCTGACGTCACACAGGTGAGGGCTTCATTGCTGACGTCACACAGGTGAGGGTTTCATTGCTGACGTCACACAGGTGAGGGCTTCATTGCTGACGTCACACAGGTGAGGGCTTCATTGCTGACGTCACACAGGTGAGGGCTTCATTGCTGACGTCACACAGGTGAGGGCTTCATTGCTGACGTCACACAGGTGAGGGCTTCATTGCTGACGTCACACAGGTGAGGGCTTCATTGCTGACGTCACACAGGTGAGGGCTTCATTGCTGACGTCACACAGGTGAGGGCTTCATTGCTGAGGTCACACAGGTGCGCGTGCCATGCCGGGCAGAAGGCCGCCCCTCTCGTGCCTACGCTGCATGGGATGGCGTGGCATAGTGATGCTGCTGATGCTCAATCAGGTTGAGAGGGGGTTGGGCTGGCTGGGAGGGTTGAGAAGGTTGGGAGGATTGAGAGGGCTGAGAGGGTGTGTGGTAAGGTCAGCTGTGAGTCGACCCTTGCATTCAAATCACTTGTGGATTCTCGCAGGAGTCACCCTGTTATTTAGTAGAGACGAGGGAAGGCGTCACTCTCATGAGTCAAAAGTGGCGCGAGTACGTTTGAGGAGTTCAAACTGGGAGGCAAGATGAAATGAGAGGAGAGTTGTGGGCGGGAGGGGAAATACAAGGAGTCACCGCTACCATTCCTCTTCGTTCCTCCAAATCCCCTGTGTGCGCTGCGCTGCCTGTCCCCCCCGCCAGATGTGGATGAACGTGCGAGTGGGCTACAGGAAGCCGCACCCCATCTTCCTCTCCATGCTGCACCTCGCGCCGCTCTTCGACAAGCTCCTCGCCTCCCAGGTGGGCTGCTCGCCTCCCAGGTGGGCTGCTCGCCTCCCAGGTGGGCTGCTCGCCTCCCAGGTGGGCTCCTCGCCTCCCAGGTGGGCTGCTCGCCTCCCAGGTGGGCTGCTCGCCTCCCAGGTGGGCTGCTCGCCTCCCAGGTGGGCTGCTCGCCTCCCAGGTGGGCTGCTCGCCTCCCAGGTGGGCTGCTCGCCTCCCAGGTGGGCTGCTCGCCTCCCAGGTGGGCTCCTCGCCTCCCAGGTGGGCTGCTCGCCTCCCAGGTGGGCTGCTCGCCTCCCAGGTGGGCTGCTCGCCTCCCAGGTGGGCTGCTCGCCTCCCAGGTGGGCTGCTCGCCTCCCAGGTGGGCTGCTCGCCTCCCAGATGGGCTGCTCGCCTCCCAGGTGGGCTGCTCGCCTCCCAGGTGGGCTGCTCGCCTCCCAGGTGGGCTGCTCGCCTCCCAGGTGGGCTGCTCGCCTCCCAGGTGGGCTGCTCGCCTCCCAGGTGGGCTGCTCGCCTCCCAGGTGGGCTGCTCGCCTCCCAGGTGGGCTGCTCGCCTCCCAGGTGGGCTGCTCGCCTCCCAGGTGGGCTCCTCGCCTCCCAGGTGGGCTCCTCGCCTCCCAGGTGGCCGTCACGTGCCATATGGGTGGGTGGATGGGGGGGGGAGAGGGGGTTGGTGCGATGAGATGCCATGTGGGGTGCGCCCATCACCTGGTCGACCATCCCCTTGCCACCCGTGCTTCCACTCTTATCACACCACCATATCCCATCGTCACCTGTGTCCCATCGTCAGCTGTGTCCCATCGTCAGCTGTGTCCCATCGTCAGCTGTGTCCCATCGTCACCTGTGTCCCATCGTCAGCTGTGTTCCATCGTCAACTGTGTCGCCTGCTTTCTTCCCAACTCCGTTTCTCCCTTGCTTTTTCTTCTTTCCCCCTTAGCCCTAGCCGTTCCCTCCTTCAATGCTCCTACTCCCCCCAATCACTGCGCAACCAACTCCGCACCTCTTGACACTCCTCCCGTCCACGACCTCCCCGTCTCTGCCCTGCACGCAACTCCCCCTCGTCCCCCTCAGGGCCTGTTCGCCACGGCTCCAATGCTGCCCCCGCGCCCGCCAACGCCGGGGCCAGACAGAGCCGGGGGAAGGGGGCGGGGGGGTCAGGCAGGGGGGAAGGCAGCAGCGGGGGTGCCCCCGTGGAGTCGGGAGGGGTGCTTGGTGTGCGGGGTGGACGTGGACGAGCGCGCCGTGCTGCTGTGCGACGGCTGCGACCGCGAGTTCCACCTCTACTGCCTGCTGCCGCCCCTCGCCCGCGTGCCCCGTGGCAACTGGTACTGCCCGCTGTGCGTGCAGGGGGGTAGGGCGCGGGAGGCAGGCTGGGGAGAGGAGGAGGACGACGAGGAGGAGGAGGACGGGGAGGAAAGGGGGGAAGGAGAGGAGGAGGGAGAAGAAGAGGAGGAGGCCAGGGGCGTTGCGGTAGGAGAGGAGGGAGTGGGGAGAGAGGGGGCGTTGGGGTGTGGGGAGGAGGGGGAGTGGGAGGAGAGTGCAATGTATGTGGTGGCGAGGCACCTCAGCAGCTGCCACTACCACCGCATGACCACCAGCCTTGTGAGTGCCGCATGACCACCAGCCTTGTGAGTGCCGCATGACCACCAGCCTTGTGAGTGCCGCATGACCACCAGCCTTGTGAGTGCCGCATGATCACCAGCCTTGTGAGTGCCGCATGACCACCAGCCTTGTGAGTGCCGCATGACCACCAGCCTTGTGAGTGCCGCATGACCACCAGCCTTGTGAGTGCCGCATGACCACCAGCCTTGTGAGTGCCGCATGACCACCAGCCTTGTGAGTGCCGCATGACCACCAGCCTTGTGAGTGCCGCATGACCACCAGCGTTGTGAGTGCCGCGTTGTGAGTGCCGCATGACCACCAGCGTTGTGAGTGCTGTGGGCGGGTCGAGTGTGCTTGCTGCCATGCCATGTGGCTTGGTGTGGCGGGTCGAGTGTGCTTGCTGCCATGCCATGTGGCTTGGTGTGGCGGGTCGAGTGTGCTTGCTGCCATGTGGCTTGGTGTTGAGTTGAGAGTGTGATGCACGGGGGCTTCTCACGTGTCGCAGTGTTCCTGAAATATTTATACACGGTCGGGTCATTTATGAACTCGGAATTAATCTGCTGGTATGATTCTGTCAGGCCACTTCCCTTGACTGCTTATGCCTTCCTCTTATGGCTTCTGTGACCGATTGTGAATCCCAGTGACCGCTGTTGACACCCCCCTTTGACCTCTTTCGACTGCAGAGAATCCTTCTTCTCCACACCCTCTGTCGCCTGGTGGTTCGCACGCCAGCCTACCAGAGCTTCTGCCACAAGCAGCAGCAGCAGCAGCAGCAGGAGGAGGGGGAGGGGGAGGAGGAGCAGCAGCGCGTGGCAGTGGCGTGGTGTGGCAGGTTCATGGCATGGGGCGCCACTCGCCGTCGCTCTCCGCGCTCTGCCCAGCCATGGCGCCCCCACGCGCCCCACTGGCCGCAGCAGCTGCGCCTGCTGATGGCTCTTGGGAGCGACTCCCATGCGGATAGGGGGCAGGGGTATATGCATGGCGATGGGGATGAAGATGAGGAAGAGAGTGAAAAGAGTGTGGAGGAGGTGGGAGGGAGTGAGAAGAAGAGGGGTGGAAGGACGAAGCGGTTGACAGGCGGCAAGAGAAGGAGGAGTCAGAAGAGTGTGGTGTATGGGGGTGAGTGGGGTGAGGGGCAAGGCAAGGAGGAGGTGGGGAGAGAGGAAGATCAGGGCGAGGATAAGACGGAAGAGGAGGAAGAAGAGGAGGAGGCAAAGGAAGAGAGCGGGCAGGAGAGTGATGGGAGGAGTGAGGAGGGGAGTGATGGGGGGCGGCAGGAGGTGGTGGAAGACGGGGGGGCAGGGCGCATGCAGCTGTGGTGCTCCAGTGCTGCGCTGCCCAGGGTGAGAGGCGTGCAGGGAGAGAAGCAGGAGGCCGGTGGAGCCGTGGGGTTCGTCGGATCGGATGAGATCGGACGGCTGTTCTTTGTCGTTACCATGAGCAGTGATGGAAGCGCAGGTCATGATTTTGCTGCTGCCAACGATGCTGGTGCTGCAGCATACACAGGGGGAGCAGCAGCAGCGGTGCTGGTGTGGTGGCCTCGTGGGGCCCGTGCCTCCACCCTCGTGCACCCCGCCCTCCCCCAACCGCCTTCATCTGCCTCACCGCGCCACACCCACCCCCCTCACCGCTTGTGGCCGGCATGCAGGGGGGCGTGCCGCCACGCAGCGTGCTCGCGCCGTGTGCCCCTGGGGGGCGCGCTGCTCGCCTCTGCCACCGCTGCTGCTCGTGGGGAGCCTGGAGTGTGTGAGTGGGTTGCAGGAGAGGGCGAGCAGGGAGAGTGGCGCTGGTACGTGTGGCGGGGTGCTGTAGTTCCGAACAGGGGTGGTGCCACGGGGAAAGGAAGGGACACGCTGGGTCAGACAAAGGTTGCGTCTGCCTCTGCTGCTGCTGACGTGGATGCTCTTCTTTCCTCATTGGCTACAGCAGCAACACCTGGCAGCCAGGTGGCAAGGGTTCACAGGCGGGTGCAGCAGGTGCTACATGAGCAGTGCGGGCGTGTGGTTGAAGCAGTATGTGCGCAGCAGCCCGGCAGGCCCGTGCATCCCCATGAGCCCTCACCTGCACACCCCGCACACTCCACCCTCTCCCTTTCGTCCCTGCCACCCCTGCACTCACTCCCACTCCACTCTATCGAACCACCCACCAAGCCGCCCACTAAGCCAACTTCCGAGCCACTCACCGAGCCATGCACCCCAAGCCTCCGCTCCCTGCGAGCTATGGCCTTTCTGGAAGAACGGTTCGGAGCGGTGGAGTTGGATGGTGCCGTGCCAATGGGAGGGGAGGGGGACGGGGGAAAGGAGGGAGGCAGGGGGGAGAAGGGGAAGGGCAGAGGAGGAGAGAAAGGGGCAGCGCACAAGGGCGCCCTGGGGGTGACAGCTGGCGGTGCGGGGAGGAGGGGCGTGTGGCGGTGTGAGTGCTTGGAGCTGCAGTGGGCTGCCAGGTGGCACTGCGTGATTTGCCACGAGACTTACAGCGCCAAGGCGGAGTTTGAAGGGCACAAACGGGCATGCCGGCTGAGGGCTAAGGGAGGCAGGGGGGGCGGACGGGGTGGGGGGAGGGGAGGGAAGGGAGGGGATGTGAGGGGGGAGCGGGAGGAGGAGCGGAAGGGAGGGCACAGGATGGGTGGAGGGGCAGTGCTTGGTGTGGGCGGCAGGGTGCAGACGAGTGGGGACCGGGCGATGGAAGAGGGGGAGAGGGAGGGAGGGCTGTGGCACAGGTTTGCAGGGGAGGAGGAAGATGCAGGGACTGTGTTCGATCCCCCCAGCACTGCTCACCTGCCACCTGCTGACGTGGCAGCTCGTGCAGCCACAAGACATCAGTGTGATGCTGATGGCATCTTTCCACCTGGCGCAATCAAGCTGTGCGACATCATGGCCACTCCACCAGCTGCCACGTCACCAGTTGACACGTCACCAGCTGCCACGTCAACAGCTGCCACGCCACCAGCTGCCACGTCACCAGCTGTCACGTCACCGTCCCCAGAAGTAGCAGTTGCCCCAGGGGTGGCAGGCGGTGTTTCTGTGGGGCAGGCAGTGGTGGGCAGGAGTGTGGCGACGCTGGGCGATCGCATGAGGGTGGTGGCCGGTGAGCAGGGCGAGGGGGCTTGCAGCACAGTGGAGCAGGGGCACGTGGTGGGGGGTGTGGCACACAAGAGGCCGCGAGGGGCGGAGGGGGGCGGTGAGGAGGAGCTGCTGAGCGGCTGCCAGCTGCTGGATCCCCGCACGGGGAAGAGGCGGAAGAATGGCGAGGGGCGAGGGAGGGGGAAGAGTGGAGGGTTGAGAGAGAGAGGGGATTCTAATGAAGGTGGGGAGGGGGGGAGGAGGGGGGAGCGTGCAGCAATGGTAGGAGGAGGCGGGGGAGGTGTGGTGGTGGCAGATGGGAGTGTATCTGCTGTCCCTGCTGCACGTGCACTCACAATCTCCCTTGCTGCTGCTGCTGCTGCTGCTGCTGCTGCTGCTGCTGCTGCTGCTGCTGGCACTGCTGGTTTCAGCGGTGCTGCCTCTGCCGCGGCCACTGCTTGCACTGAACCTGACGCTGACAGTGCTGCCACTGCTGCCGGTACCACGAGCAGAAGTACGAAGGAAGGAGGGGATGAAGGGGCATTGCAGCGGAGTGGCAGCAGTGGTGTGGAGGAGTGGGAGGCGCTGTGTGGCGGGCTCGCGCCCATAGAGCACCTCACAGAGGGCATCGCGCCTCCACCTGCTGCCGCTCCGCTTGGCGGTGCTCTTCCCGCCACCCTTGCTCTGCCAACTCATGCTGACGTGGATGTGTGGGCTGCTGACATGGAGAGTGAAGACACGGAGAGAACGGGCATGGAGGGGACAGGCATGGATGGTGTGTCTGTGGATGGTTGGGGCAGGCATGGCAGCGCACTCGGTGCCATGTCGGGGGATGTGACCTCCCCCATGCCGCTCTCTGCCTGGGCCAGCCCCTGGGACCACCTGCCACTCGCGCCCGATGGCACCACCACACCTCACGTCGGCAGCAGCAACTCCTGCGCTCTCAGCACCTCTCCACCGCACCCAACCGCTCTCCTCATCCGCAACGTCTCTCTCAGCCAGCAGGCACCCGCCATCATCCCTTCCCCGCCTGCGCCCGTGCCTCCCCATGTTCAAGTGCCCTCGCTGCCATCACCTGCCCTCGCTTCTCCAGGCCATCTGGGAGGCGTGGGTGGGGGAGGGGGTGTGGCTGTGAGTGATGGCAAGGAGGGGAGCGAGGGCGGGGCAGGGGGCGAGTGGGAGGAGGCGGTGGTGCTGGTGCTGAAGCGCGAGCTGCTGGACGTGGAGGCGGCGGCGGGTGTGTAGGCCATGGAGGGCCCCCGTGGGCGGTCGGGCAGGCGCCGTGCATGGCGGGCCATGGTGAAGCGTGCTGATGCCACGCACTGGCGCCACGTGAGCCCCCACTGCTTTCTACCTCGTGCTGCCCCTGCTGCCTCTGCTCCTCGCGCTGCTCTTGCTGCCACAGTTCCCCTGTTGTTTGTCCCCCTTGTTTCCCCTGGTTTATTGCACCTCCCCCACACATTCCCTTTATTGCACTCACTCGCCCCCATCCCTGCAGTGTATGCACAGGGGGATGTGAGAATGCGCATGGACTGTGCATCCATGAAGGAATTTCATTCACTCACCTTCTGCATTTCCCAATCTTCAATCTTGGTCACTTCCTTCCTATAATTCTGCTTGAAACGGAGTGCGTCCCTGTTCATTGCACCTGCTCCTCCAAGCCTCAATCGCCCTGCCCTCTCAGAGCACCTTCCTTAGTAGCAATACTTCAATGACACTACAGGATACATTCCAGTCCCTTGCACCACTTGGCACACATTCACCTCATACCCTCCCTCCCCCACTTGTCCCCGTGTGCCCCAGCTGCTGCAAGCCTGCATCCTGCTTGAGCTCGCCATCCGGGCCGACCGCCTCGCCCTGGGCTGGCGCTTCTGGTGCTCCCCGGCTGCCGCCGCCTCGTGCGCCACGCTGGCAGCGCTGGCCCTGCGAGTGCGCGCCCTGGACCGCGCCATCCTCTACTTCAAGGGCCCCCTCCGCCCCGCCGCTGCCGCACGCGCCCTGCCCCGCGCCCATGGCGGTGGGGGCGAGTCCAAGGGAGCAGGGGGGGTGGTGGTGGAGAGCAAGAGGGGTGGGGGGGTGCCGGCGGTGGTGGTGGCGGAGGAGGCGGATGTGGTGGAGGTGTCAGCTGCGAGTGGCGAGGGGGAGGGCGGCAGTGGCAGTGTGGAGTTTGACATGTTTGACGAGGAGACGGGTGCCGCGGCAGAGGTTCTCGAGATGCTCAAGGCGCTGGGTTGATGGACTTGTCGGTGGGATTTCGTCTGGGTCAACTTGACATGGTGTTACACGTGGTTAGGTCCACCCCCTTTTTGTGAAACATGCAGTCTGTAATGTTTCTTGTCCATTCCTAGTACTAGCATGCTCCGCTGAGCTTGATTGTACTTTTCTTAAGAATGGGATGATGCCATCACGACAACAAAGCAAAGGCAAGTTTTTTTAATCCACAATCAACGAGCCATATTCAGTAGTCCATGAAACCTGACCAGCATGGTATGCAAGCTGCGTCTGAGAAAGGAGACACCACGCCACTACTACAACATCACAAGCAGCGAACGGAGTTTTGCAAGGCCATGCGCCCTCAACCAGGCCATGTCACGGCAGTCATCCCGGCAACCGCTTAACAACAGATACCGCAGAGCTGCCAGCTGCGTGAAATCCTCTGGGAAACCCTGCAGCTCCCGACAGCCTTTCAGGGAAAGGCTCCTCAGCCTGGTGAGGTGCGCAAAGCCAGCAGGAAGCACGGAGATGGATGTGGAAGATGCATCCAAATCATGCAGGCAGGCGAGGCGCGTTATAGAAGCCGGCAGCTGCTGCTGCTCTCGGCATTCCGACAGATCAAGCGTGCGCAGCCGGGACAGCGCAGCAATGGTTTGAGGGAGAGTTTTCAGTTTGGGCGCGTGGATCTCCAAGGCTGTGAGTTGCCGGAGCTCCCCAATGCTGCCTGGCACCTCCTCCAGCGATGAAACCTTGTCCAGCTTCAGCTGCCGCAGCTGCGGAAACGCTGCCCCAATGCTTCCAGGGAGGCTCCTGATGCCATGTCCCGAGATGGTGAGGCGGCACAGGGAAGGGAGGAAGGTGAAGGGGAAGGGGAGCTCTACAGCAGCGTTTTCCAGGTGCAGGGCCAAGCGCTGCAGGCGAGACACACCCCTGCTCCAACAATGACCTTCGGTGCTAAGGCTGCTCAGTGAGCTTTGTGCCCCTCCCACCTGCAGGTGGCTGGCAGGGCAGCTTGCTGCTCCTGGCCCTTGCCCTCCCCCACCCACATGCAGCTCCACCTCCCTCAGCTGGGACAGCACAGAGACGTCTGCCAGTGCAGTGAGCTGGTTCCCGGACCATGGAATGCTTAGGAGCTCGAGAGAGCGCGGCAGAATGGCAGGAGGGTGACTCAGCCCTTCACAGTATGTCAGCTGCAGCTGCTTCAGCCTCTTGAGGCTATCCAGCCTTCCGGGCACCCATGAAAGCCGCGAGCAAAGAACAACTGCCAGGCGTTCCAGACGGATCAGACGAGTGATGGACTCTGGAAGACGGCTGATGGGGCATACCAGTATGCTCAGATCTGTCAGGTTACTGAGCGCCCCCAACGCATCTGGAAGCTCAGGTGTTGCGCACTCGTGCAGTTGTAGGCTGGTCAATGCAGTCAACGCGGTGAACGAGGCTGGGAGGTGCTGCTGGCAACGGGAGCCGATGAAGCGAAGAGTGGCAAGGCTGGTGAGGTGCCCAATGTCGTCTGGAAGTGTGACATTCCCAAGGCACTCATGCAGAGAGCCTTGAGTGCGGGAAGGCGGCAGAAACCAGGTGGAAGCTCGCGAAGCTGGTAGCAATTGTGGAGGAGTAGAGCATTGAGGGACGTGAGTTGGGAGATGGAACTAGGGAGGACAACAAGAGGCAGCGACTTGAGCTCGAGGGTTTTGAGACCCGCCAGATCACCCAAGCTGTCAGCAAGTCCAAACAGGAACTTTGCATCGGAAATAACCAAGACTTCCAAACGGGTCAGAGAGGGCAAGCTTTCAGGCAGTTCCGTGAAGCTACGGCAGCCACGGATGACTAGCTTGCGGAGGGAGGGAAGCATATCCTCAATGTCGGTGGGAGGGCCTTCGAGCTCCTGGTAGTCTGTGAGAAGCAGCTGCTGCAGGCGAGCGCATGGGGTTGATCCCGGTGGAAACATTGAGTCGAATGGAGGGGTGCAATTCGTGAATCTAAGCGTTTCCAGGCAAGACAGCAGTGCGATGCTGAAAGGAGCTGCGGGCTGGTCGGTATGATGCAGAGCGAAGATAGAAAGGTGCGCGATGGGGAGGTCAAGCAGGCTGGATAGCTGCTGCAGATGGAATGCCGGGAAGGCGAGATGCAGGTTGGTGAGGGACGAAAGGCTCCTGAACCCCGGGTTTTCTAGGGTTGCCGGGGTCGTGAGAGCGAGAGTGTGCAGGTGCTTGAGGTGAAAGAAGGACGGCGGGAAGTCAGCGCCGTCGCGGAGGCAGTAGAGCGAGAGCTGCTGCAGCTGAGAGCAGCGGCGGAAGAAGAGATCCATCCCGGCGTCTGTGATTGGATGCTCGTCGCTCAATCCCGGAATCCGCGGCGTTATCTTCCCTCCCACGTGGAGAATGGTCAGCTTGGGGCATGACGAGGCGAGGTGAGCGAAGAACGCGTCGTCGAGGTTTTCCACGCTGAGGTCGCAAAGATGGAGATGCGTGAGGCTTGGGAAGCGCGCGACGGCGACCGTTAGGTCTTGGAGGGACGCGACGAGGTTCTCTCTGAGAAGAAGCTCGGCGACGTGCGGGTGCAGATGGTGTTGCGCGACCCGCCGCCAGCGACGGCAGACAGACGCGAGGAGGAAATTGATGGGGGCAGATTCAGTTGCCAGAGGAGTCGGTACCGGTGTACTGCACTTCAATTCAAGTATGTCGCGATTTCCACGGATGTCCGTCGCCTCTAAGTCCAAGGAGGCCCACAAAGCCTCGCTGGTTTCAGGTTTGCGGAAATGAGGCTTCGTGGATTGCCGTAAAACTTTCATTAGAAGGTCGTCCGAGAGACTGTCGATGTGTGTGCGAGACTCCATAGCTGAAATGGCTAAGTATGCAGGGAACGGTAAAATCACTAGAATATAGCTCGAAGTTCAAGATATACCGGAACGTTCCAATCCATAACTCCAGCGACTACTCAAATGTCTAAGCTCGTCTGGGATGGGGTGGCTGGCAAAGCGAGAAACTCGAATCGCTGGCGAAGCGGTGACGAAATTTATTGCGAGGTTTGTGGGATAGGCTCCAGCTCGTTTTGGCGATCCCACAAACCTCGCAGGGTGAGCCTGGCGATCGCCACAACGAGCAGGGTGAGGATTGGCCGATCGTCACCTGAAGCGGATCGGCCAAGGATCGGCCGATCCGCACTGATCTTCATTTTGAGCCCAGGCTCGGCAGCGATTGGTGCCCCGGACTGCAAAACTACGATGGCAGCTGCAACACCGATATACAGGTGACAGGTTTGGACGGGCAGGTTTCGGGTCTGGTACACCCAACCTGCGACAACTCCTCTGGAGTCGCACGCGACGAACGAAAATGTGTCGCATATGCGCGAACAACGTAACCCTTTGTGTACGACATCGCTCAGTGACTTCACGACGAGGATCTAAGGCGATCGATCGTGCCTATCACCCCTGGCGCGAAGTCCCACACCACGCCCCCCAATCCCACGATCGATATGGGCCCTCCCTATATCGATCTGGGTTTGTTCAGGTGACAGGATCAAAAGGACATTTGAACTGTACTTTCGTTAACATCCGCGACATTGGGTTACCGGGTTGATTATGATGCTACAGTGGTACACCCCACGCGCAAAACCGATCCTACAGACGATGGATCCGCTTCAGGGGACGCGTCCTGAGTCTATCCCACAAACCTCGCCAGGCTCACCCTGGGATACAGTAGCTCGTTTTGGCGTAACTCACCCTGCTCTGCCCACCTCGTCAGGCTCCAGCTCGTTTTGGCGATCGATCCTGCGGAGGATTTTTTTTTAACGCGATATAAAAGTTTCTAAAAGTTGTGGATGCAATACGCATGACTTTAGTGCGGTGGCGAATCGATATTTCACGATCGATCGCCAAAACGAGCTACTGTAAATTTCATGCTGTAACAGTGCCCAGGCTCTGTTCTGTTGGCGCAAAATGAAAGAACATCTCATGCTTCTTGTGCTGCCATGCATCTATTGATGTCCCACACGTTGTGAGTTTTTTTCCGCTCTACAAACGGTACCATTCTCCCACAACAAATCTCAAAGCTTTTTGCAACGAATCAACATGGGAAGTAAAATACACATCTAATTCCTTCAAGCAATATTCTTCCTCAGCAACATCATATACCGTAGAATGAACACCCAACAGAAAAAAAATCCACAAACCAGGCACATGTGAATCGTCTAGCCATGTGCCACGTCAGCAGCACACTCGTGCCACGGGCCAACCACAGCATGCCAGCACGCATTCGGGGGAGCAGATGCCGCAAGCACATGCATGACTGCCGCCCGTGCATGCTCGTCCCACGCCCTCGCCATGGCTGTGAGCGTGAGAGGGCCCTTGGCAGCGCGCATGGCTCTGGTGAAACGGTCCATGGCGTCTTGAACCACGGGGGATCTGTGGTGGGCAGGAAGAGGAATGGGAAGAACGGGAGTGGGGAATAAGAATAAGCGCTCATCTCACGGCCGTGCTATGGGTGTGAACGTGAGAGAGCCCTTGGCAGCTCGCATGGCGCGGGTAGAGCAGAGGCGCCTTGAACCACGGGTGATCTGCAGTGGGCAGGGAAGGACCGTGAAGGATGGGAGGAACGGGAATAATGGGAAGAATGGGAAAACCGTGAGTAGAAAGAATGAGGTTATGTGCTTGTTCGATACTGTGGCCGTGGTTGTCCGCTTCAGGGGGCACAGCAAAGAACAGATGATTCCCCCCCCATGGAATGGTCCAACACGCAGCTCCTAGGAATACAGCATCCTCTTGGCGAGTGATAGGGAAGGGGGAAGGGGCGAGGGGGGGATGAGGTTGGAAGTGGGATGGGAGTGATGGAGGATGGGCGAGGTTCGGATGGTCCGAGATAAGAGGTGGGGATGAAGTGTGTTGATCAATGTTTGAATTGATTTGAGACACCTGGGAAACACTGGGGGCCAGTTGAGATCATGGGTTGGTGGAGCAAAGAACACGAGACATGAGCATGGCACTGGCAGAGCAGAGCAGAGCAGAGCAGAGCAGAGCAGAGCAGAGCAGTTGACAGGAGCAGAGCAGCAGGCAAGGAGGGCAGAGCACCTGGAGTGCGGGTGGGCTTGGAAGGGCCATGGCTGGGGCGAGTAGTGTGGGTAGGAGCCGGGGACGAGCAGGCGGAGGGGAGGGAAGGGAACGCCCACCTGTGGAGCGGAAGCATTGCAGGGCGGCAGGGGGATAGAGGGATGGAGGGGGGAAAGCGGGGTGCATATTAGCTGGTGACTGGGGAGATGGTCCGGAAAAAAACTCGGGATTTTCGTGAAGTCGTCATTATGTGTGAGTTGTGAGACGCCTCAAACAACTTTGAAGCGCACGGCTTGGGAAACTCTGAAAAGGTGAAGAACCGATCTTGCCCGCACACGGCTTGTGCGCACACACAGAACAGCAGGCACAGATGAGAGGTGCCCCAACGTTTGTCTTCTTTGAAGCGGGAGAGGATCAGATCAGATGAGAGGTGTGCAGCATGAGAGGGCGACATTAATGTGAGTGTGTGCATGGAGGGAATGACAAAGTGCTGCCGCATTGAAAGAGCCATCCTTAACCAGGGCTTTTGAGGCACCTCAAAATAGACCAATAGCAATGCGGACCACTTCTCTAGGAAATAGAATGAGAGAAATGTCAAAGTGCGCGAGTTTTAAGGCGTCTCAAGACTCGTCTCGATTCATGCAGGGATCAGATCATAGGTGTGCGGGGAGAGGAAATGTCAAAGAGCGACAGCACTGACGCACCATCCTTGCCCAGAGCTTTTGAGTCGCCTCGAAACAGCAGCAACACAGAATAGCTTGATGGGTGAGGTGAGGCGATGAGATGAGAAGGGATGACATGACACGAGGTGGCATGACATGACATGAGATGATGGGTGTGTGGCATACCGAGGGCATGTCAAAGTGCAGCAGCACTGCAGCGCCATCCTTGCCCACGGCTTGCGCTCTCCTGCTCTCCCGCACGCTGACCTCCACACTCGTGTTGATCATCTCCTCGTTCACCTGCTGTGCCTCCCATGTGAGCGCCGCGTTGAGCTGATGCCATGGCACGGTGTGACCGAGGGGTGCGGTGCAGAGGTGGAGCACAGAGCGGGGGGAATGGGAGGCGGGAATGGGAGGCGGGAATGAGAGGGGGGAATGAGAGGGGGGAATGAAAATATGAAACGGGTGGGATAAATCAGAGGAGATATAAGAGGGAGAAATAAAAGCGAGAAATTATAGGGAGAATTGAGAGGAAGATTTGAGAGGGAGAATCAAAAGGGAAAATTTAGAGGGGGAGAATTGAGAGAGGGAGAAATGAGAGGGAGATTTGAGAGGGAGATTTGAGAGGGAGATTTGAGAGGGAGATTTGAGAGGGAGATTTGAGAGGGAGATTTGAGAGGGAGGTATGGCAATTGTTGTCCAACTCGTTCACTCCTCTCCCATCTTTCGTCACTCGCTTCCTCGCTGAAGCAGCCCGGGGTAACTAAGAGATGCAAGTTGGTGTAGGCACTGCCAGTCCCCACCCCACTGCCAGTCCCCACCCCACTGCCAGTCCCCACCCCACTGCCAGTCCCCACCCCACTGCCAGTCCCCACCCCTCTGCCAGTCCCCACCCCACTGCCAGTCCCCACCCCACTGCCAGTCCCCACCCCACTGCCAGTCCCCACCCCACTGCCAGTCCCCACCCCACTGCCAGTCCGCGCCCCACTGCCAGACACCACCCACATCCCGCCTCTCACCTCTCTCCTCACTCGCTTCCTCGGAGGGAACAGTGCTGCCGCAGCCTGCGATCGCGACACCAGCCATGGCCCATCCCCCACCCCTCCACCACCCTCCTCCCACTCCTCCTCTCCCCCGTCGTCCTCCTCCTCCTCCTCCTCGTCCTCCTCTGTGTCTTCCTCATACGATCCCCACTTTCTCTCCTCCTCCACCTCCTCGTCTCCCACAGCAGCAGCGCCCCTCCCGCCCTCCCCCTCCCCATAGCCTCCAGCAGCACTTAAAGCCCGTGTGACGTGTGCCGCTGTGCCGGCATGCACAGCGCTGCTGGTGACGGTGCCCTCATGGTCCACCACACTCGCTGTCACCGACACCACCCTCCTGCTGCCCCACCCACTACCTGCACTGCCGGCACCTGTAGCAGTAGCACAAGGGGCACTAGCCACACCAGCAGCACCAGCAGTAGCAAAGCCAGCATCAGCACCAATGGCAGCACCACCAGCAGCAGCAAGGGGACTCGACCCTTGCCCATGCGGGCCAGACCCCCCCGGGTGTTGCTGCTGGGACTGGGACGCTGATAGCACGGGAATCTCCCTTGGGACCTCCCTACCCCCCGGGGACCAAGAGGAGGAAGTTGCCGGGAAGGTGAGGGAGTTGAGGGCCATCCAGTCAGCGAGCAGGCGTGAGCTGGCGGTTGCTGATAGGTCCTCCCCAAGCGCGCCCCTGGAGCCGGCGAGCGGTGCTGACGTGGCGAGGCGGTCGGAGCATGCGAGCACGGCTTGCATGTGGGCGGCTGCTAGCAGCAGATCCCGACGGTCGTTGGCCAATGAGGCGTCCATCTGCCACGGGTTCACAAGGGGGGCGAGTGAGGGGGACACAGGAGAGGAGAGCATGTCACGTGTGAGCGGGCGGTTGTTGACGGAGGGGGCAGAAGCAAGTGGTGGCATGTGGGCGGCTGCTAGAAAGAGATTGCAGCGATGGTTGGCCAATGAGGCATCCATCTGACGGGGGGTGACTGTAAGGGGGGTGGGTGATGGTACGGACTAAGAAAAACCGTTGACTCAGGTCGAACGGACTGAGAGAAAGCACTGGCTCAGGTCGGCACTGGCTCAGGTCGGCACTGGCTCAGGTCGGCACTGGCGAATGAGGCGAGGTGACCGACGAGCCAAGCAGACCTCTCAAAAGCCAGCTCAAACAGTTGCTCATGCCCACATCCATCGAAACACCACCCACTCACCACTCGGCAAAGCCTTGCCATAGGCTCTTCCTCCTCCCTCTCCTCCACCGCCCCCCCCTCCCCACCCTCCACTTTCACTTCAATCGCCCCCTCAGCCACACCTTCCCCAGCGTCACCCTCCCCGGCTAACCCCGGCGCCCCGGACGTCTTGCTGGTGTCCGGCTCATAGAGGCCCGACGAGGGCGCGATGTACCCCGATGCTGCTGCGT